ATGTAGCTCTAAATTTATTTACAGTAGACTCACAACTTATGTGGGGCTATGTTCCTGGGACCTCACAAAAAGCCAAACACCATATAAAGTCAGAAACACTCCTAAAAATTCCCTAAATCACCCCACAAATGCAAGTTGAAAAACTGTACAGTACAGTACTTAAATGTACTATAAAAAAATTTAAAAAAATTATCTTGTGCAAAATATATGATGTCTACCGTATATTCAAATTATTCGCTGTCTTACAAGGATTCTAGCAATGCAATTTATATTCTGCTAACTTTAGTCTATGACATTTTATAAGATAAAAACTTTAAGCCTAAAACAACTTTCAATCTTGCCGGAAGTGGAGGAGGAGTTGATGTACAGTCAGTTCTGCTATAACGCGATAGTTGTGTTCTTGTAAAATATCATGTTATAGAAAATCGCGTAATAGAAATAACAGGGCTTATGGAGAAAATAGGGTTAGGTGCAGATTACTACTCGACATCGAAAAAAATTAGTAGTTAGCCTAACACAAAGGATAGCACAGTCTAAATAAATGTTACATTCATATCTAATAATGAAATCATACAGTAAATGTAACACTTTACCTTGAAAAAATATGAATATAACTTGATGGGGGAGAAGGATGATTTTGAGGTTGATAACATCGAGCTTCTCTTCAAGTGTTATATCCTTTCTTTTACGATCATCACCGGGAATTCGATCACCAGAACGCTTCTTGGAGATATTCTTCTTTACCATATTCACAGTTAATACCACAAAATTGGAAAAATAGTAAGCAAAAATCGCGTTACAGCAAACAAGCGTTCGCGTTATACAAATATCGTTCCTCTATTCATAAATCGCGTTAGAGCAAATTCGCGTTATCAAAACACGCGTTATAGCAGAACTCACTGTATTGTGACAGATGTCCCAGCCGCCGGCCAAGGTTGCCTAATAGTATTTATTTATCTGTCATATTGGGGGAGTTTTCGTTTTTCTCTTATAAAATGTCAATGAATTGACTTAAGAGAATATCATTAATACAGTATTGCTAGAATTCTTTTAAGATAGTGATTAATTTGAAAATAAACATGCTATAGTTTCCACTAGACATACCTGGTAACATTTTTAACAATTATTTGTAAATTTTAGTACAAAGGACTACAAATTTTATCTCGTGCATATTATATGATGTCTATACAGTATTCAAATTATTTGCTGTCTTGCAAGGAATCCAGCAGTGTAATTTATATTCTGCTAACTTTAGACTGTGCCATTTTGTCAAGTTTAATTACTTTTATTGGCCGCCAGAACCTAACCCTATTTTCCCCATTGATTACATGTAATTATACACCGCGATTTAGTATATAGCGAACATCATTGGACCCTATCTCACGATATATCCAGACCCTACTGTACCTGTACCTAAAATAAAATTCAAAGAGGCTGGGATTCTAAAATGCTTTACATAATTCCATCTTAGATATAAAGACTGAGTGTATTTAAATTTCTGCTTTAATAACTAAGTACCACTGCCCACCAGATGTTACATGATGCAAAAAATTCAGCCGCTCATCAATTAGAATCGAAAAGTGACGTCACCACAGCCACACCCCAATTAGAGTGACAGCTCACAGCGAGTCTTTTTCAGGCTGTCATTATGGAGGCAACAGTCATCTACAAAACCCTTAATTGATGGAGCTTGATAGCTACTTGGCATGCACAGGGGATGGAATTGGGCTACTGAGGTCTTTCCCGATATTATGCGATGTATCTCTCAAGCTTAACAACCCAATACCTGCATCTGCTGCTTGTGAGCATCTGTTTAATCATGCTGGGCTTATTATTTATTATTTAAGACAGTGGTACTTGTGTCTCGCAGGACATGCTATGACTTGTGATATGGAGACAATATTGATATGATTTAAGGGCAACATAGGGAGAATAGCAGCTGAACATCATCTCTTTCGGTAGGTCAAGCTGGGTTTATATTTAGGCCTAAAAGATCCCAATTGGACAGCCATAATTTCGAGAATCATTTATTGATTTATCTCAACAGAAAGATTTGCAAATAAACATGTGTAATACTTTATGCCTTTTACTTTCATCTTTAGTCAACTAGTTTTTTATAATTTAATATGGATTTATTTTAATATCTGAGACAATTAAAAACTTCATTGTTACTTTTTAATTTCAGTACGTGAATACTTTATGAATGAGATACTCTTTTACTTCTACTTGAGTACATTGAGCTTTGGATACTTTTACTTATAAGTGAGTAACATTTTGCCAATGTAACAATACTTTACTTAAGTAACAAAGTCCTGTACTTTTTACAACTCTGCCCTTGATTAGCTGGAGACTGGTTGCTGATACATAACAGTGCATGAGGATTACAGAGCACAACATACTAGTGTAGCTGTAAAGACCCAAAATTTTTCAATCTTCAGTTACAACTGATGCACCACAATACATACTATATACTCCCTTTCAGGGATAGACTGTGGTTGTGTTAGGAAGGATCAAGTAATTTTGGATGTTTTTGAAAGATATTTTGGGACTTCATGTATTTTGGCTCTAGTCACAGAAATCACAGATCTGAGACCTGTTGAATACCCAGGTCTCAGGACAGTAATTTCTGTGACTAGAGCTCAAATACATGACATCCCAAAATATCTTTTAGAAATATTCCTAAATTACATATCCCATTTTATTCCCCAGCAGGAATCATCTGATGCTCGGCAATAAAATGGGATATGAGAATCAATCCCTCATTGGTGTGAATAGGTAAGTAGAAGTTTACAGTACAGTGGTCCTTCAATTAACAAACGGTTCAATTAACGAAATTTCGGTTAACGAATTAGCTCCCATAAGGATTTTCAGTTCGATTAACGACAGCCTTACGAGAAACACGCTTTGTTGTGCGAATCAGCTGATCGGCTAGTCCGCCAATACAGTAATTGGTTCTATGTTTACATTCGTTTCCAGTGGAGTAAATATCAAGAAAGTTGTGCTCTTGAATATTTTTTTCAGTCTTTATATTAAAATTATTGGTCATTCTAAAATTTAGTTAACATATTGATAATACATACAGTACAGGGAACAGTTTTTGTGTGCCCTTCAGCTGATCGAATCACCCAACAACATTTCTCAGTTTAACTTTGTTTACAGTGGAGTGAACATTGAGTTTATTGGTCTCCTGAATATTTTTGCATTTTTACATTAAAATTAATGGTCATTCTGAAATTTAGTTAACATATTGATAATATACAGTGCAGAAATTATTATGAAACATGAAGAAGGCATTAGAGCAATACACTATGTAAAGAATATGGCATGTCATCATCGACTGCCTCTACAATCAGCGGTTTGATAAGTAAACAAAGCTGCCGGGAATACGACAGTATTCTATTGTTTTTTATTTATTATTGTACAGTGTACTGTACAGTACAGTACTGTATTTAGTTTATACAGTAGTACCCCAATTTACGCGGTCAATTGAACCCACAGGGTACCGCAGAAAGTGAAAACCGCGTAAAGTAAACAACAGAACATATGGGATTAATTCCAATAGAGACTGGCCCGACCCCCAAACTCCACTTTTTCCGACACAATACCTATGTTGTAGTAAAAATAGCATCCAAATTTTATGATGGTATGCTCACACAATTAATATTTAAGGGAAATACAGTCGCCAGGTTAATGTCCATTCAAATAATGGACTCAAATCCCCCCCCCCCTCTTCCCAGCTCACTAGCTCCTACCTCTCTCAGAAATGTTTGGGTGAAACCACTAGATTTTAACGTTTAGTGATAAATAATACCTCAGACTAAAGTTAGGATAATATAATTGACATTTCTGGATTCCTTGCAGGTCAGGGAATATTTTGAATGTAAACTTCATATATTTTGCACAAAAGATAAAATATTTCCTTTGTGTAAACCAAATTATTACATTTGATCTAAAATTTGTATGTCTAATGCAAAATCCATGAAGTTTATATTCAAAATGATCATCATATTTTAAGAATTCCAGCAATGTAAATTATATTCTGGCCGGGTAATTTGTATGAATTTTATGAGCTAAAACAAATATCTTCAGTAAATAAACAAAGAAATATTCTTCAAGGACACTATCTGTCAATCAAAATACCCCACTTCCGCCCTCCCTTCCTACCCCGCACCCCCCACCTTCCCTCCCTACCAGAGAAGGATTGGGAGAAAATAGTATATTTACATTTTTAGTAATAAATAATAACCCAGACTAAAGTTAGGATAATATAATTGACATTTCTAGATTCCTTGCAGGTCAGGGAATATTTTGAATGTAAACTTCATATATTTTGCACAAACGATAAAATATTTGCTTTGTGTAAACCAAATTATTACATTAGATCTAAAATTTGTATGTCTAATGCAAAATCCATGATGTTTATATTCAAAATGATCATCATATTGTAAGAATTCCAGCAATGTAAATTATATTCTGGCAGGGTAATTTGCATGAATTTTATGAGCTAAATAAAAAATATAAAAAAATTATACTTCACCGCGCGTATATGAGTAGATGCACCGCGGAAAGTGAAAGTCCGGTTCTGGCAAGGTACCGCATAAATGAGAAATCGCGGAAAGTGAAACCGTGTAAAGCGGGGTAATACTGTATTTAATGTTTTGTTAATTCTATTACCAGTATACAGTAATTTGTATGTATACTTTTTCTGTGAGTTGGAAAAAATTACCCAATATCCCATTGAAATAATAGATTCTGTTAAGGAAATTTTTGATTAACAACCGAATCTGTAGAACCAATTGTGTTCGTTAATTGAGGGACCACTGTATTTGCACTGCTCCCAATGGACAATGTCCCTGCCTCTGAATGCATATAGGTAGCACTCTGGACAACATAAGCTATACTTGGTGGTGTTGTACAGATGATGTCACAGGTTACTTGATGAATGACCTATACAAAATAAAATTACAGTACACTATTAAACTGTAATGAATTACACGTACCAAGTTCTTTCGAAATCTTAACCCATCGATGAGAAGCAATGGATTCATCTGGATACTTGATAAGCAGTTCTTCAAGTCTGTAATACAAAAAGAAAGAAATACAAGTATGGGACAATTTATCTGGCATCCCAGTATCTGGAACGCTCCAAAAACCAAATATGTTCTGGAGAAAATTACAGTATTTTCTCGATTTAACGAACGAATTCGAGCCACCTCTTTCCGTTAATTTGAAATTTCCGTTACTTTTGCTCAATTTAGCAAACTAATTCACTAAATCGAGCATGATTCTATTAAATTTCACGCTACTTGGTGCATGGGGTTTGTTTACATCCGTTCAGTCAGTGTCTTGCCACCACCGCACATGTTGTTCACTGCTACCTCTGAGTCAACTAACTACAGTGCTTAAACATCATGCCAAAAGTCACTCAGAGGTCTCAGAAAGGAAGTGGTGTGGGGGAGAAAGTCAAAAGAGTGCAGCTATCAATTGGAAAAAGTTTGGAAATACAGTGACCCCTCCGTTAACGAACTCAATCCGTTCCAGAAGGTCGTTCGTTAACCGAAAAGTTTGTTAACTGAAACCATTGTTTCAATGGGTTTTTGGGTAATTGGTTCCAGCTCACCGAAAATTTCCTAAATTCAACAAAAATGGTAGAAAAGTTCACTTACTTTGAGGTGTGTATGTAGAAGGCTCCTGGACGATGATGATGATGGGATTTAGAATGGGGGTGGAGGAGAAGGAAGAAGAGAAGGCATTGGGGTGGAAGAGAAGTCACCCCATGGCGCCATTTCACCCATAAATTTTAGCTCTCTTGGTGTAATTCAAGATTATTTTCTTTAAATCAACACTGCACTGCATTATATATTGTCAATATGTAAAATATATTTCAAAATGACCAATAATTTGCTTGGAAACACAGAAAAAAAGCGTTTAGTTGAAGAGAGTCTCAAGCAAGATGTTACCTCCAGTGAAAACAGAGAGAGACTAACTCCTGTTTGCTGTGTTAAGAGGCTGGATGCCGCGCATTAAACTAGTCACTTTACCTTCAATTATGTTCAATAATTGTTAAAATGACTAAAAAATTGAATATTAAACTTTTAAAATTATTGAATAGTATAAACTTCTTGATATTTACTAAAATAGTAAGGAATTTAAGCCCTAGAACCGATTAATGTATTGGCGGACTGATACTAAAGCTGGTTGCCCGGTCAGTGCAAGCGAAAACATGTTGAGGTCGGTTCGTATGAACTTCGTTAACCGAATTTTTTTTCGTTAACCGAATTGAAGATCCTTATGGAAGGCAGTTCGTTAATCGAAATTACGTTAACCGAGGTGTTCGTTAAACGAGGGGTCACTGTAATAAAAAAAATTTAAAACAAACACGAAACCCCTTAGTTTAAGGTAAGTGATGAATAATGTTTCTATGTACATATCATGTGTCTGATGTGTCTCTGGAGGTGTGAGCATATTAATGGAATTGATCTTGATTTAACAAACTAGTTCACTAAATCGAGCAAAAAATAATGGAAAAAATGTCTTCTGCTAATTTGAGGTCGTTATATTGGATTCTGTTTAATCTATAGTATACTGTATTTAAAAGGGGCAAGTAATTCCCAAGTCAAGAAGGGAAATTTCCAGCCTTTCCCCACCTGTGAGCTATAGTATATTATGTTATGGTTATTTTTAAGCTCATACATACCCCATACTTGCCAACAGTGCATAACAGAGATGTGACCAACCGCCCAAACAGCTAACAAGCCAATCAGTGATGAAGAGGATAAAGTAAAGTAATTCATTACACTGTGCTACTCTGATGGGTGAAAAGACAATCATGTAAAGTTGTGCCACATAATATGTTTTGATGCAAAGTTAAGCTCATTACTGTAAAACGTTTTAACCTTTGACCTTCTTGTGACCTTGACTTTTGGTAAAGAAATTTAAATTTGGCTACCTGCACATCATCTTTATAAGTTGCAACATTTTACAAAAAAGGACAATCATGTTGTTTCAGAAATATATTTTAGACAAATTATGTAGGATGAAATAATAATAATAATAATAATAATAATAATAATAATAATAATAATAATAATAATAATAATAATAATAATACAGATTGAAACTCTCTTGTCTGGCATCCTTGGGACCTGACCAGTGCTGAACCACAGAAATTGCACCCCTCCCCCCAAAAGAATAACTACCTCTCACAATACTGAGTGTTAATGCCATTATTATGAGTTAAGTAACCACACAATTTGTGGGCAAGTCATTTCAATATGCTAGTGTGCCTTATCAATAAAGAAAATACTGTACAGGAGTGTCTCAGACTACATGTATACAAAGTACATGACCCCGCTTATATGTGTTCACCCCCCTAAACCACCCTTATGGTTGGGTCTCATTCTTGCGTGAGCAGAGTGTGGATGAGACGCAATGGGTGGGAGGGAGGAGGAAGGTGGGAAGTGGCTGGCACCACGAGCCGTGCTGCCTCCTCTTGGCAATCGCTGCTACTGCTGACTCTCGCAGTCTCGCCGCTGTCCCATGATAACCCAGATCAATCAGTGATAAGCGTACACATGGTTGCAATTGAGGATACCGTGATATGCCAGAACAGCGATTATCGAGTCCCGTGATTATTGAGGATACAGTATCACATCGCCCAGACGATGGTTTGATTTTTTTTTTGTCTTTTACGGGGATTAGCCCACCTGGGCACAGGTTACTGACCCACATCGGGGCCTGGGGTTTGAAAATGTAATACAGTATTACCCCGCTTTACGCGTTTTTTTTTTTTTTACACGTTTCCACATTTACACGGTACCCTGCCAGACACGGAATGCTCACTTTACGCGGTGTGTGTACTCTTTTACGCGGAGAGCGGCTGGCTGTCATCTCGCGCCATGCCATTTTTGGAATCAAACCTCCCGCCATGTTGGGTAAGCGGCGCGAGTAGGTTGCGCATTGTATGTCTTTGTTGCGTTATCGGTGACGTCATATGATGTATCGGACTGTGATTGGGCCAAGCATCCTTACCTCCCTCCCCCGCTAGCTGTGATTGGTTCAATGTAATATGACGTGCCCCCCTGCGGGAGCGTTCAAGCCCGTTGACCTACCCGCGTCAGTTACACCCATCCGGGCTACACCGAGTATATCGGTATCTATTGTTCCTTAAGAATCGCTTCCACCGGACCACCACCACCACCACAAAGAAACCTTACATTACCTGGACCCAGCCGCCCTAAGCCAAAGAAGATACGACGTTCCCTACGAAATTAAATAGAAGATCAACCAGAGTTGGAGAAAGGAACAAGACAGGTTAATCTTGCGCGCCAGCATCGTGTTAACGTATCTACGATCCGGACGATCAAGAAGGATGCAGCCAAGATAAAGGAGCACATGAACATCACAAAGTCTACAGGTGCTTCAATGATCAAGTATTGCCACAACCAGGTGCTTCTCAAGACGGAGAAATTACTTGTGAGCTACTTGATTCGTCAGGCACAACGGAAAATGGCGGTGGACACGCGCTCAGTTAAGGAGTACGCACGTGAACTATATGCTGCAGTGTCACGTAAGATGGGAATAGCAGAGCCCAAACCCTTCAATGCTTCCTCTGGGTGGTTGCAGAGGTTTAAGAAGAGGAACAAGATCACCAACATTAACATTGGTGGTGAAGAAGCTAGTGCCGACCGTGTTGCGGCAAGGGATTTTCCTCCGTTTTTACATGAGATTATGGAGGAAGGACAGCACACCAACGACCAGGTGTTTAACATGGACGAATCTGGTCTTTTTTGGAAAAAGCTACCTTCCAAGACCTTCGTTGTGAAGAATGCCAGCAAGTGTTGGGGCCGGAAGTTGCAGAAGGAGCGCATCACCGTCCTGTTTACCACCAATGCCTCCGGTACCTGTAAGCTCAAGTTGTCAGTGATCCACACAGCACGCAAGCTGCACGCCTACAAGAGCATGGACATGACCAAGCTAAATGTCCACTGGCTGACCGCACGTAAGGCGTGGATGTTCTCTACTCTGTCCCTCTCCTGGTTTGATGACTGTTTCGTTCCCGACGTGAAGAAATTCTGTGAGCAACAGAATGTTCCATTCAAGATTTTGTTGCTGCTTGACAATGCATCAGGACACTCGCCCCTACTGTTGGATTATCACCCCAACGTAAAAGTGGTCTTCCTTCCTCCCAACACTACATCATTAAAACAGCCCATGGACCAAGAATTAATCTGCAATGTGAAAGCTGCATTCTCTGCAAAGAAGTTTAAGCTCCTAAACGACTATACCAACACCAAGGATGAGTTGTGTAAACTGGGTGACACCGATAGCAAGAGCGAAGATGACAAGGAACAACAGTTGGCAGAGCAAGAAGTACTTGTGAAACATTTTTCGAGAAAATTCAACGTCAAGAAAGCTGTGGACTTCTCGGTGGAGGCATGGGATCAGCTGTCTGTAGCAACGGTTCGTCACGCATGGAGACATGTGTTGCAAGGTATTCCAGGTGGGAGGCAGAGTCAATCTGTGACTGGTGAGGTTCAGACTGTTGCAGTAGCAGTGGACCTTACCAGAGAAGCTGCTCAGTGTTACAGCTGCAGGCTTCTCCGAGACTACCAACGACGACATTATGGAGGTGATAAGGGATCCTGATGTGACTGCCGAAGAGATGTTAGATGATGATGACGTCAGTGAAGAGGCAGGTGGTGCGTCATCCCAAGAAGAATGCAAGTTATCGCATAGTAATGTAAAGGGTGCCATCGAGTGTGTAGAGAAACTCAAGCTCCTCCTTTCCGACGACCCTGACGATAACCGGTATGAAGTCTTCACTACCCAGCAGTTGCAGACTACGGAGTCCTCCATCAAGGTGTAACACGACAAAATCAACACGAGCCGTCAACAAAGCATTACCGAGTTCTTCGCCCGCACCCCACCACAGCCAGCCCAAGCCAGTGATAGTGACAGAGACAGTGATGGTGACTTTGAGGGATTTGTCAGGGAGGCATTGAGAAGTGTGGATGACAGTGATGATGACTCACCTGAGGGCCAGTAGCCTGCCCTCTGCCTCGGAACCAGCCTCCA